CATACTTTTTAATGCAGAGAATATCCAGCAGATAAAAGTTTGTTGTTCTGTTTGGGGACAATAAATATACCTATAATTTATATGTTCCTAATGCTGTGATGGTGAACCTATGGCACGTGTGCCACAGGTGGCAGGCAGAGCCATATTTGGAGCTAATTTTTCACCCTCCCAGGCTTCAGGAAACCCTCCGGAGCCTAAGGAGGGTGAAAAACAGCCCCAACGGGCCAACCGGAAGTTAGTTCCCAACCCTCCACTTTGATTTTGTCCCCCCCCCCCCCCACCAGCCTCCGGAGGCTTTCCTGAAGCCTGGGAGGGTGAAAAATTAGCTCCAAATATGGCTCTGCCTGCCACCTGTGGCACACGTGCCATAGGTTCACCATCACAGCATTAGGAACATATAAATTATAGGTATATTTATTGTCCCCAAACAGAACAACAAACTTTTATCTGCTGGATATTCTCTGCATTAAAAAGTATGTATAATCTATACTATATACAAGAGTCTTCATTATTATTATTCTAAACATAAAATGTTTTCATCCTGCCTTTGTTATTTTTATAAATAATTCAAGGCAGTGAACATATCTAGTATTCTTTCTGTCAAAGTCAGTCAGCTATCTTTCATGCCTAACGAACCTAGAGCTTTCAGTTTCTTAGTATCTAGAACTTCCAGACCCAATTGGTCCTCTATCTTCTATTTATCACTCCAGTAATAATTATATTTATATGAAGGATTTACATAAGTAAATGAACAACATATAGAAATAGTTTCAAAAAGTCCACTTCCAGTTTACAGCACATTTTGTCTTAATACCAGGGATGTCAAATTCACATCATCGTCACATGACGTATCAGGACTTTCCCCTCCTTCACTAAACCAGGCATAGATGTGGCCAGCAAATGATTCATTTGGCCCGTGGGTCAGGAATTTGACAGCTCTAGTCTCTACTCAATTTTCAATTTAGTGTATCAGTTGAATTAAGTTTTTATGTAAGGACATTAGCTAATCAGTGTTCATTCTGGTATCTCTTCCACTAGCTTGCTGAAGCTCGTATAACACTATAATGTAGATATTTATATCAGCCACAGTCCTTCTGCTCTAATTTCAATTAATCAAGTAGGCAGACTAAATGCCAAAATTTGATATTATATGCAAGATAGCATGCAGAGTTTTTGGATAGCACTAAAGTCAACTTATTGAATATAATACAGCTAATATAGGAACCAGAGGTGGTTTCAGCCGGTTCGGACTGGTTCACCTGAATTGGTAATGGAAATCGTGGATGGGCCCGTCCACTTGCCCTGGCTCTATGCCATCCTATTTAGGCACATTTTTGATGTTGTGTGCATGCACGGAAGGCCATGCACATGAGTTGGCGTGTGCTCATATTTGCGAACTTGTAGGGAAAATAAGTGAGTACCATCCCTGATAGGAACCACCTGCTTAACAAGAACCCATTAACAAATTCTGCAAATATCAACTCTACCTTTCCCATAACCTAAAGGGTAACACTGGGATATGGTGGCTTAACAAAACAACTTAGATGTTTTAAAGAGATTGCTGGCTTGTGTCTCCAAAGCACTGGAAAATATGTGGCTAATTTTTAATCAAGACATTTTTTTATACACCAGTAATTTCTAAAGCAGCTATTCTTGACATTTATTTTACTAATTCATTTGTCAATGTTAAACAGTTGTCTTAACATAGGGTGGTGCGATGGAAACAAGCGTTCCACTGAGGACAGGTGAAGGAGAAAAGAAGAATGAAATCAATCATTACCATTTACTACATACATACTTTACAAGTAAACCTGGAGCTTGCTTTTCACTAATACAAATGGCAACTAGCTAATGAGGGTGTAATAGGTATGAATATTCACATTAGATTATATTGAAAAACAATACTCATTTGAACTTTTATGTTTTTTAGACAAATAGGAACTCAGAAGCAACAATAAACTTGGTAAGTAAATAAATTAATTAACATTAATCTGGCATTATATTATGATAGATTCCTGTCACCTAATGCATTGAGAGTAGCTGGTTAGATATGACAGATCATACAAGACTAGAAAAGACTATACAATGATTAGAAAAAAATGAGATCTACATTTTAAAGAACAATGTTACCAATCAATCAGAAAAAGTCTCTACCTTCACATTGGTTTCTTGGAAGGATCTTCCACCTTGTTTTTATCACATTTTCCAAGATCTGCAGGCCATAATACTGAAAATTGGAGAAGTGAAATATGTGAATATACTGGAGTTAACAACAACTTTCAGGATTCTCATTTGAGCTGATATCATTCACACTTTATTAAGATTATGTTGATAAAAACAAATCTATCACCCATTTACTAGTTTTTTCCATGCATTTTCCTCATTTTTCCTTTGCTAGTCTAAAGCCCTGCTGTTTGGTCATGATCACACCAGAGGGGAGCAAATAAAAAATGTTTTGGGAAGCCAAATTAATTATCTTTAGGGGAGAAAATCAGCAATCAATAAAAATCATGGCCTAAATGACTGTTTATAACTTCCAAATATACAGCCAAGTTTAGCAACTTGGATGTTAATGGGCTTTCTGTCATTTGAATTGTTAAGACTAGGGCTTAACATTAAATCCAGTAACACCTTCAGGAAAATGTGCTTCCTAAGAATTAATTGGTGTGTTTCTTAAAGAACAGCAAGACAATTCAAGTTTATTTCAAAGTACAATAATCTCTCCCCTACAACAGCCATATTTATAGTTTCAATATTAACTTTTGTATTCAGTCAAAAGTTCACCATTTCCATATATACCTTGAGGTTGTTTTACCTTCCAGGTAAGCCTGCCAACACATGTTTTAAAAGCAATGCGTTTGTAGGGAATGAAAATTCTTCAACCCATTTTATTCCTTTTATCTCAGCATAAAAATATTCAATATGACCTCTATTATAACTTGTATAGAAATAAAAATATATTTAAAGAAATAGCACAGGACAGGAGGAAAAGGGGTCAAAGAGTTGCTGATAGTGAGAAGATGGGAGGCAATACCTGAAAGGCAAAATTAGGCTTCTGTAACAAGATGGCTGGTCAAGATTTGGCCACGAATAAAAGTTCTTCAATACTGTTAGTGTCTATACAAAATAGGGTAATTTTAATTTCAGCCAGAGGTATCATGTAAGATATTTTAAATGAATAGCACAATGTAGACTGTCCCAAACTACACTGTGTTTCCTGCAAAAGTTTTTGAGACTTGTTTTTTAACTTTTCCTGCATTTCCCCCCTCAAAGTTTATTGTTTAATCTCTTTCAGAACTAATAAGTTATTCTACTTCCAGTGCAGAAGGTGGTAAAACATTTTAAATTTATTGCTGCAATCTAAAGTACTATAGTCATCTATGAATGTTGGGGCAACACATTATCTATAGCAGTGGACTGTTGCTTGCTGTTTCTTCAGCAGGCCTCTCAGTTTTTTAAAAAAGAAAAAACATAACTACATCTAAAACTGAACTGCAGGTTGCTTTCTTGGCAATTTGAATTGATGCCAAAGAAACAGCAAGCAAACCTCTAGCAATTTGCAAGTCTCTTATTTCTCCTTCCTATTCCACAATGCATGCAACTTCTTTGTGCTACGGCCTAAATCTTAAATGAACAAACATTTCTATAGAACAGTGCTGGCATTCATGAAATAACAGCATCCAGAGTAGCCAAAGCACCAGACATGAACAACAGAGTGTCATGACAAGACTTCACCTGTTACGATGATTCCCTCTAATCAAAATTGTACAGTAGATACCAGTGCAAGTATCTTTCTTGTTTTAATATTAGTTCCACTTCTCTTAAGACTAACTGGTTTCCAACAATAATTTCTGTCCCCGGAGAGGATACCCATCAGGGTAGCTGGTTACAGATCTAGGAGTTTCAGAAACAAGTTTTCAAATATTGACTACTACAGGGATACACAAAAAGCTGAACAGTTTTTACAGCTCAAAAGTATAGCCACCTCATTGCTATCCTGCAACAAGATCCTAGAGACACAAAATGGCAGGAAGTATTGCCTTCTTCTTACTAATAATACAGAAAGATGCTTAGAATATCTCATGAATAGACTTCTGTTTTCCCAAATTTCACCCAATCATCTGGGGCAATAAGAGGGTACAGATATAAGGCTATTATCACGTTACTCCATTCCATGGAAGCTGCTTAGCAGTTATGAGTACTTATGCATATAAAGCATGGGTATTTAGCGAAGGCATCCTCTCAAAGTATCTACAACTTATTACTCTAACACTAAGGACTTATTTACAAGAAAATTACATTATATGCCTTTTCCCGGCTCACATAGTTAATGCAACTTTAGCTCAAATTATTCAGAAAAGCCAATAACACTATATTTTCATGTAGTCTGGAGGATGGTACTAGTTTCTTTCACAAATGCACAATTAGTTACATATATGTAAAGCAGGGCAAGCAGATAGGGAAGCAAGTTTTTCTTTACTTTTGTTATGCAAGTATTTATACTTAGTTCTAAAAATTAATAGAACTATGTATTTTTTAGTAAAAAAAAACCCAATGCCTACAATTGCTTTAAAAAGTTCCATTTATGTACATAAAATTGTTAGCTGCAAAACATACTCTATTGTATGTAACTCCAGGTCTCAAAAACATTTTCAAAATAAATGATAAAACATAATTACAAAAGATGGGACAGAAATAGCAAATTGACAAAATAATGCATCATGATCCCCATGGCAGAAATTTTTATGGGTCACTTATTCAATGTACCAACCCATTCCCTCCCACCACCCAAGAAACCAAAACAAGGAAAAAAAGCAATTGATGAACAGAATTCAGTTAAAGGGAATCAAAAGGGTAGACCTTGTGGAGGCCTGCCGTCAAAGCCTAGCTGTGTCAGTTGCACAGGAAGACACCCCTTTTCTTCCTATTACAAGCAATCAACATAATGGAACATTATGATTAATATCAGGTAGTGTTAACAGCTTTAAGAAAAAAAAATGACTGCATAAAAGCCAAATGTCATAGTGCATAAATTTAGCACCAAATCATTTGCAATTTATGTAAATTGAAGAATTCTTTACCTGTTGCTTTCTTTCTGTTCCTCTAATCATCTCATTTTTCACAAGACAAATTTGTGTTTTAAAAAATACTGTTGATAAATCAACTTAAACATTAGTAATGTCTGTGAGTATAAAAAGCAAAGTTTACCAGGCAAGCAAACAGGCAAACATGGTTACTTAAATTTAGTACTTTGAGGAAGTTCTTAACCTTGTCCTAAAATTTACGAAGCCTTTTTTTAAAAAAGTAAGACTTTGATAAATATCATCCAAATTCTGTAGGAACTATTTGGAGCATGGCTGTACATTATCTAGAACAAGGTATAGCAAAGTATATGTGTGTGCACGCAAAGAACATGGCCATGCACATGTTTCTTCAGCTATATGACAACCACTTTAACATGTTTGACAATTTATATTTAAACCTCTAAATTTTCTAGATCGAAAACAACTGCAGAAGGCTGAGAAATGTCCACCACAGCCAGCCAATATCCTCATGATATGGCTTAACTGTATTACAAATAAGTATAAATTGTATTTAACAGAAGAAAGTATCTGGGGTGCCTAGCCTGTTTTAAACTACATGGAGTAATACCAATGTAAAAAAAAAATGAGGAACATACTTGTCCTCAGTTATGTGCATATGGCTTTCATTAATATAAATGAAAGCCAAACACAATCTTAACATGATATAGCTATAAAATGTTATTACACTCAAATCTGTTCATATTCAAACCATAATTTTACACCAATCCCATGTGACTCAAATTCTCAAGCCTTTTACAAGAAAAAGTAACCAATAACCTCATGGAAATACCATGTGATAGTATAGGGTTAAGTTAAAGAGATTTGCAGGAACAAGAAAAAAAATTAAACAAATACTAAATCTAAAAATTGAGATACCTTCCTCAAAGTCTGAATGGAAGAAAGAAAGAACGCAATTAAAAATCATGTACTTACTTTGGTGTTCATATTCTGAGAGAATTCCAGAATAGTATCAACTCTTGTCCATGCATCAGGGTGTTCCTTTAAGTGAGTCAAGACTTCCTGTGCCATCCTTTGCTAAAAAGTTAAGACACAAATAATTAATACCGAAGTAGCATGCATGCATAAGTAATTTCAGAATAGTGTTACCTAGATTTCAAATAGCCTATACACAAGGAATAGTTATCAAGTTCCAAAATCACAATTTGTAAGATAAAAGTTAATGCATTCTACAATGCTTTAAATAGCAAAAAAGTTGCATCAGGAGAGCAGTATTTTCTTATAAATGGGGAAATTTATATGGGGGGGAGGAGAGGAAGAGAGGGACGGACGGTTCTTCAAATATCTAGGCCTTATACATAAAGGCCCTCAGAACCAGCATTTTGAATTGCATCTGGAAAACTAAGGGAAAGTAGGTACACTCACAAAACAGAGGTGCTACATGGGTATACTGTGGCATTGCCACATCTGTTTGTACCACTTCTCTGGAACAATGGAAACTTCAACTAATTTCCAAGAATAGTCCCAAATAAAGTGCATAGCAATGTGCACATGTGAAGTAACCAAGACGTAAGTGATTGTAAGAAGTAAAAGGTATAATTGGCATGCAGACAGATTAGTCTGGCTTTCCTATCAAGCAGATGCTGAAAATCCAGCTTCCTGAACTGCATATCTGTTCCATCTGGGGAACTGCAATTCCATTCAAAAAAGAAGTGGAAAATCCCTGGATTTTTGAGGGTCAAGTACCTAAAACACCTTGGTCCTGCTAGGACTGATTTCAAGTCTGTTCCTCCTCATCTAGATCTCCACTGCATCTAGGAACTGACAAAATCTTGAAAGCCTCATGCAGTCAGCCAGGGATCAAGATATACAATTGAGCATCATCAATACTGATGATGCCAGACTGATGCCCTCATTCAGTGGTCTTATATAGATGTTGAATCCAGGACACCTTGTAGATTGAGAATTTTGGACTTAATTTCTCCCCACCTGTCAAGCCAAACAGAAAGGAGAACCCCCCAGAATACAGTACCTCCAACACTTAAATCTTATTAGTTGATTTCAAAATACCATGATCAATTGTATCCAAGACAGCTGGGAGACCCAAGACAGCCAAGATGGTTGCACCATTCTCTTTAAGCTATGCCAGAGATCATCAACAAGTATGATCTATGCCATCACAATTCTATGTCTTGGTATGAAACTTAATTGTAGAAAGGCAGACAATCCATTTCCCCCAGGACCACAGCCAACTTTCATCCAGAAAGGAAGGTTGGAAATTGGGCATTCAGGACTGTTGGGTTCAGTGATGATTTCATTAAAGGTATCATTGCCCCCTCCAAGACTTCCCTCAGAGAGGAAGTCACCACCAGAGAGACCTAACAATTTCTTCCCAGGAGACCTTCACTAACAAAGAGGGACAAAAATCTAACAGGTGACCAAGTTAACTAACCTAAAATTCATGTTTATTTCCTCAGGAGTTACAATATCAAATTCTTCCCAGGTAAGTGAGCAGGAACATGTCTCATTCACTACTGGATCACACAAACAATAACACTAAAAGAACGATCACCAAAGATTTAAGTAAGCTATTGGCCTTCCAGTTCAATTACTGTGATGGAATCTGTACTGAATTTGGGCATCAGATTATATTAACATAAACTCTCTCTAAAGTGTTCTACGATTCCATTATTATAGTACAGGTAGTCCTCAACTTAAACCACAATTGAGCCCCAATTTGTTGTTAAGTGAAACATTTCTTGTGAGTTTTGCCCCATTTTATGACCTTTCTTGCCACGGTTGTTAAGTGAATCACTGCAGTTGATAATTTAATACCTGTTGTTAACCATCACATGACCTTGGGACACAGCAATGGTCATAAATATGAACTAGTTAAGCATCTGAATTTTGATCACATGATCATGGGGTTGCTGCAAAGGTCATAATTGAAAAACTGTCACAAGTCACATTTTTCAGTGCCGCTGTAACTTTGAACAGTGATAAATGAACTGGTGTAAGCTGAGGACTACCCATGTATTATTACTGCAATTTCCTGCTTCTTCAGATCTCTTTATTATAAGTCAAGCTATAAGGTCATTCTTAAAGATAACAACTTGTTTCTTCCTTTGCAGATTTGAATATACTTAAATCCCTTAATGGATATCTAATTTTGAATCATGTACTCTACCTGGGCTCCTTCTCCATGATACAGGCAGTTCACCACATTATCCAACAGATTTATATCCAACTTCTGGTTGAAATCCAGCAGCTGCCGTGCTGCATGGTCTGCTAACATTGTCATAATTGCTGGCATAGATTACTGAAATTGTAAGAAAAATAAAAATAAATCAAGTGAAAAATAATTTTTAGTTTTCAAATATTCAGCAAGATATTTTACAAAGATGATTACATTTTAAATAATTGATGACTTTCTGAAAGGACCAAAATTAAATTCCAAATAATACATTTTTAAAATTTGATAACAGAGGGATTTCATCTCAGCAGCTGGGCCGGCACAAACACTAGAATGATTGGTGGACAGGTTGTTTCAAGGCATTGTTGAACCAAGCCGTAAGATTAAATCATAACACAGATTGTTTGAACACTGTATGTTGCGTGAATACACTGGTGACCCAGTTACTGAGATGAGAAACTGAAGTCTCTTCAATGTTGTGTTCTTACAAAATAGTAAACATTATACCCAAAATTAAGTTTGAATTTTAGTAATCTATCTTTATTGTAAATATTTATACTGATAAATAATGCAATTCATTTTCAGCAGAATCAAAGTACAACTTTTGAAAACTATAGAGGGAATTACAGTATTTGCCTTCTTTGCAAGCTTATTAAAATGATAAGCAGTTGGAAGCCTGTTGCCTGTTTAATGTATTACCTTTAAGAAAGGTAATACATCCATGATTCCCATTCCCAACTTTTAAAGGAAGAATCGTGTGTGTTTGTGTGTGAGTTTATACTAACCCTACCCTATGCAAAAGTTCTACTTAGGTTAAATAGGATGTGCTCCCTGATTAAATATGCTATTAAATAGCTTTCCTCTGATGACCACCCATATATGTTACAATGCCTACTAAATGTTGTCACTGATTATAACCAATTGAAGATGATGGAATTGTAGTTCATCAGATTTCAGGATACTAGATTGGAAGGATTATGTTTATGATTGAGCCTTACCTATGTTCCAGTGGTTCATATTGTTTTGGAAATGGTCCAATTACTATTTTCTATTGGAATCCATAATGCAAATGTGTAAAGAAATAATAACTAAACAGATAATGATTATGTTGAGGTTGTTTTAATTTGGCAAAACAAGGCTGCAATCTCAATTCATTCACTCTCAAACCCCCCTATTAAATTCAGCAGGCGTAACCTCTTAGGATTGAACTTTAAATATCCCTAGAGTAGTTATAGTAAATTGTATATACCTTCTGCTATTAAGTACAAAATGTAACCAACTACACCTGTCCAAATGTGATGTTTACATATAACAGATATAGAATTTCTATGTTATTGGAAATTACATCTTTACTTGGTTTGACAGAACAATTTTCCTCACATCACTGTCCAAAATTAAGCATGTTTTTCAATATCTAGTTACACTTTTCTCAGGTATTTAATTCTATAGTTCTCGGTGTCAACAAGCACTATTTCCATTCCTGGTTATACTTTTTCTTGAGCAGTTTAAACACACATAGAAGCTTTGTAGTGGACACTTATATGCAATTTCCACGGATACTTACTTTTCCTTTAAAAAAAATCTATTTTCTTAACTAAGTTTGAGTAGTGGTCAGGCTAGAAACTGAGAAACCATGAGTTTTAGTCCCACCTTAGGCACAAAGGATGGATGACCTTGGGCCAGTTACTTTCCTTAGGTAGGAGGCAATGGCAAATCAGTTCTGAAAAAGCTTGCCAAAAAAACTGCAGGGCTATCCAGGCAGTCTCAGAGAATTGGTATGACTGAACAGAAGAAAAAACTTTACTATCCCAAGGAATGATGGCTTATAAGAACCAGTCATATGATATGATTGCATATTATAAACTTAATCAATGGAATGGAAACATTCTTGCCACATGAGCTCATTAAAATGATGTAGCTGCTTCTAATAGACAGTACAAAAAGGCAGATACCTCACCACTGTAAGATCTAGATACTTTAAAGTTAATGTTGCATATATTTACTAATTGCAAAAGGTAATTAAAGTGAAAAAACCTCTTAAAATTGCAAGCTTAAAAATTAGATATAATTTAAATTAATTATTCAAATCAGTATATCTAATTTATCTGTAACATGTATACATCAAATAATTTGTAAAGAGAATATAATACCATTTGAAATAAATTTGGACAACCATCTTTCAATGTTCAGAGTTAACAAACTTACAATTTAAGAATAACTATCTCTCTTAATTTCATTTCTTAATTCCATTAACCAATTCAGCACAACCAATTCATCTTTAGTTATCAGTGTGGTGCTACTAAATGTAGGCCTCCCTAAGTTTTATATTTGTTAACAATCAGGTACTTCGTATCAAATCTAGTCAGATAAGCTGTGTAAGATGAAAAACCTATAACGGAGTCCAAAATATAGTATTTAAGGACTGCAGTCTGCCCCTCCCATAGAGACGCTTCAGTAAGGTTTCCTCGGAACAAGAAATTAACTTAACAGAAAAATCAGCGAATTAAAGAATTTAAGGCTTAATCAGAAATAGGCCACTAACATAAACAGAGAAACCATACGCACATGGGATACATCCAAGGGAGACCGCTACGTTCACACTTATACACATACACACACCCATTGGTTAGGCCTTGGCTGCCGCCCTTCTCCAACAAGCAGACACGCTGCAGAACATGCGACATCCACGCTACTGACATACAACTGAGCTATAAATTGTTGAGTTTATTTTCAGAATTTTCCCAGAGAGATTTCGTTTTTCAGCACAGAGTGGACCACGCAGAGATTATTTCTTTTCCGCCCCAAGATCAGTAAAGAGCACAGCAGGGCCGCTGCAGCCCCTCCCTCCTCTTTCCCTGCTTTCTATACAGGGCCCCCACGTGATCTAGGCGGACGTTTCAATACTGCTGCACGGAGACACACAAAAAATATTTCTGGAAACTTCCACTCCTAATAATTCACAGATAACGCTCGTTCTTTCTTCTATCCGATCCCAGTCTCCCGCCTTGTCCTTCATCTACCTATAAGAAAAGGTCCTCCTTTCATCTCCCGCCAGGCCCTTCTCTCTCCCGCTTACGTTTTAGTATCCAGCTCCAGTTTCCTAATCTACACTTGCTGCTTTGCTCCAGTCCCACCGCCATGCTCCAAGGATGGCCTAGGTTGCTGGAATCTGCTACATTTTCCTTCCCTCTCACATTACTTTTATTTCCGATTTCCCAAGCATCTTCTTTGAACTTCGTCTTGCTCCAAAGCTGGCACCTATTGAAGCCCTATGTCTCTTTGAGATACACGCCCCTTTCTCTTTCTGCTTTCCATGTGGCTGCAAGTACAAGTCTTCAAGAACGACCCGCTTATATCTCTATATTACCAAAAAGCTTCGTACTTAGCACTCCCCATTTTTGTTTTCCTTGGAAACGGCAAGATGATCACACACCGTTTACTGTATACAGTTTAGGCCCAGGGAATGAGAACCATTATTTCAAATAAAAACTAAAATGCATTTGAGAACTGCTAAGCATAAAGCAATCTTTCCAGTAGATCTTTTCACATCTAGCCCATTCCATAAGAGTCCAAGTTGATTTCTCCGGGGATTGCTTTCCTCTACACCCCAACTTTCTTCAGCAAATCCTCTTCCCTCCCTTTCCAATTTAATGCCCCATGCACGTGTTTTCATTAATTGAAAGTTCTCACTTACCTAATTGAGTATCACAACTATTTCTTCTAGAGAGGCAAGTAGTGGAGAGGAGCAGTTAAAAAAAAAAGAAATCCAAGCAAATCTAAAAAGCACGAGGAGGAGTGAAGAGATCTGTCCAGGCTTCCTTCCTTCTCAACTCCCCACCACACAGATACAAAAGAAAGGTATCTCTCTCTTTTCATAAGCAGTCCAAAAGTCATTCAAAGCCCACCCACCCTCCCCCCAACTCTCCAACTTACTAACAAATGGGGATGGAAAGGAAAGGTGAATTACAAAAAAAAGGGGCCGAGGGGGCAAACAACACACAAATCACTTTCTGTTTCTTAAAGTTACAAATTCGCCCATAGAAAAAAACAGGGCTTGGTCGTCCATTCAAATGTGTAACCAAGATTCACCCCCTTTTCCAACCACCCCGAAAAGACACACAAGGAGGGTGGGGATGCGATTTGATTCTAGGCAATTTCTTCCACCACCAGACAAGAAAGAAGGGACTCTCCACCGGTTTCCCTCTCCCGCCTTTTCCTTAAAACCTTAAGTTGGAGGGGGGCGTTTCTACACCCCCCCTCACATAAATACTTCTTATATATTAAAACACAGCGATTTTAAGGAGACTCCCTCACTGCCTCATTCAGGTAGGCAGTCAGGCAGAACACTGAAGTTGAGGGAGATCTGCCAATTTGGGAAAGGGGGGGGGATTTAGGGGCCTACAACACACCCACACCACGCTCCTTCCCACTCCAAAATTAAATAGGCGGGGAAGCTAGAAAACGCTCACTTGGCTAGACACCCCCCACGGCTGTTTGGGAGTCCTTAAATTTTTAAAAACTCAGAAGCACTTTTCAACCACCCGATTCTCGGGAATCAGTCAGACGGCCAGGCTGAGCTGCCTCCCCCTTTCTTTCCTCACGCTCTCACACTGCACGGGTTGTTTTCCCCCCTCAGTTCACTTCCATACCTAACCCCGTCCTTATTTTAAACCCCTGCTTCTCTTCTCCTGCCAATCCACTCCTGCGCTTAATGAACCCCGCTCTGCTTCCTCGCACACGCGCGCCCTCCAGCAGTTCCTCCTCTCTCGCTCGCCCGCCCCTCCCCACACGGTAAAGGCGGCAAAGGAACCGAGTGCGTGGGGCGACTGCTTTTCTTTCTCTCGGACACAATCCCCCCCTCGCTCTCACTCGCTCTTTCGTTTCCCCCCCGGCTCTCGCTTTCCTTCGTTGCTGCTGCTTCTCCTTCCGCTCTTCCCGCTCCTCCTCCTCTAGTGCCACAGACTCGGAACCGGCTCAAACCGGTTCAGACTGGGAGATTCCATCTCGGTTTAGTTTTCAGCCCATGGCGCCTCCGAGCGTGCGGGAGGGGAGGGGGGAAAGCCTCCACCCCAAGCCGCCCTGTCTTCCCATTGGCTCCAAGGAATGACGGAAAGAAGAGGAGGAGGGAGCTTCAAAGTAGAAGGGGATCCGCATACACACATACACCATCTAACGGGGTTATAGGCAAATAATAGGTCTCGGCGTTTCATTGGTTAAGCGCGACATCCATCTTGCTTTCGAACGCGCGAAGCTCTTGTGGGGGAAGCCTAGCACTTCTTTCCCCTCGTTCTTACTCTTTCCGCAATACAGGAGTGGAGAAAAGTGGACGTACTGAAGTGCAAGAGAGAAGGGAAAGTAGCCGGTTTTTTATTGGAGCAGGAGGACCGTCTCTCTTATTGTTGTCCCGCCCCGTCCCCACCTCTATTTCTTCCCGCCTCGACCTTTTTTTTTCCATGCCCCAATGTCTTCAAATAGCATTCACGAGGACTGGTTCTATACTTAAGCCTTACCTCTCATTGGATGGCAGCTTTAGATGACGTCAGGAGGCGAGCTCGAGGCGAAGGAGACCGTTTACGGCAGAGCTCGGGGCGTCGTAATTGAATTGTGAGCGGAAGATGCTGAGGAGAAAGGAGGCGTTGGTTCAGGCGACGAGTAGAGATGAAGAGAAGACAGGAAAGAGAGCTGACTCCCTGTAGTTCAAGAGGCGATGGTTCTTAGCATTTGGAAATTAAGATAACCGTGGAGTGTTCCTTTCTTTCTAAAGGAGTTATTACGTTGATCTGCCAAACCGTCGAGGATTCTTGCGACACCTGCATCGTTAATCAGTTTATACCTTAGTCACCAAGGCTTAGCATTTGAGCCTGGAAAGTGCTCTTTGATTTCGGGCTTTTTGTGTTTACCCATGGAAACAAGGGAACAGTTTTCTCAATTGGTACTCTCCAGGAGGATTGGACTACAGACTTCCCATGACTGGCTTAGTGGAAACTTAGTTCCGAGAATGTGCCATATTTATATTTTATTTGGATTGTTAGAATTATAACTCACATTTTCCTCAAGAGGTTTTTTTCTGCTCCTTTTCTCCATTTGGTTTCACATGTCGTTATTTTTCTAAAAAAAATACTAAACTTAAATAGCTTAATATTAAGATTTCTTGCACAAATAGAACTTTCAAATATGTTAACTATATTAACAAGTACAGAATACCTTGTTGAGTAATTCTTTCTAAACTAATATCTGATCATGGATTGCTAGTGGACTAGGAGTATATAAGTACCACCTTGTGCATATTCAGTAAAATTACATGAAACTTGCTTAGCCTTACCTTCCCCATCAACTTCTCCATTATGTCTATTGGCCAACATTGTAGAATTCAAATTGACATTGAAAGATTGTCTTATCTTCCCTATGTGATCTATAAGATCTATAAACTGGCTAGCAATTAATAAGAAACTATTAACAATTCTTTGTGCAACTTTTTAAATTTGCTTACTAATAAGGCTAACCTGTTTTCAAAATCTGCATATGCCAGACATTTTACAAAACCTTTCGATTTTGCACAAGACCCCTATGCTTACATGTGTTAAGTCTCATTTTTGCCAACACTTTTGGCTTGCTTCTGGTATTGTTCATTTATTTTAAAAAGAATGACATAAAAAGTGACTAAAATAAATTTATTGCTTGCTTTCAAACTGCAAATATTGTATACAAAAAAGGGTGTTGATATTTTACACACAATGATTATTTTTGAATAGCTAGAAGCTAATAATACTTATTTTCATTCTGAACCAATTTGGAAAATATTGAATAATAAGCATGCCTATATATAATATTTTAACTTGTGCCTTTTTCCTGGAGATATAAATCTAAAGTATCTTTGATATTTCTGGATAACTGCTTAGTCAGAGTCAGATGGTGAATTTTACATTTTTTTTAAAAAATGATGTGAAATATAGGTAGTCCTTGATTTACAGTCTCAATCCCAAAAATTATGTTGTTAAGCAAAGCAGTTAGTGAGTTTTGCCTTATTTTATGACCTTTTTTGCCACAGTTGTTAAATGAATCATTGTAGTTAAGTTAGTAACACAATTGTGAAGTGAATCTGGCTTCCCCATTGACTTTGCTTGTCAGAAGGTTGCAAAAGGTGATCATGTGGCCCTGGGACACTGCAGCTTCATAAATGAGTCAATTGCCAAGCATCTGAGTTTTG